ACCAGAGAATTGACATATGAAATGTAGGTTTTGGGGTTTTTTTTTTTTTAATAAATTGCTTTCTAATTGCTGCTGCTTCACATACAGGTAATCACGTAGATATTTTTATTTTTATTTTTTTAAGCTTTTTACTTATTTATTTATTTATTTTTATTGTTTTACCACAGGTTGAGAACTGCTGGCTTAGGGTATCATACAGCATTAAAGTTGCCAACAGAGTACACTTGTATAAACCTTCATTTGAGGCTGCCCCATTCATGTGCTGTTTCACAAGGACTTCTAATGTAGCCATACCAGAGAATTGACATATGAAATGTAGTTGGGGTTTTTGTTTTTTTATGAATTGCTTTCTTTTTGCTTCTCCTTTGCATTATAGGTAATTATGTTGATATTTTTAAATTAATAGATTCTAGTAGCTTTGAACTTCATTCCAGGATAGAAAAGAGAGTCTAAACAATATTTTTCCTAAAAAGGAACTATGAAAACTAATAGGGTGCAACCAAGTGGCATAATTTTTTATAGACTGTGTGAAGGTACTGCACCTCTGTCCTGTGTTGCAGTCATAAGAGGCCTTCTCCTTTGCCCCTAGCACTCTATGGGACTGGCACATAGAGTAGGAAAACCATCCTCCCCCAAACGTCTGGAGGTGTCCTCCCGTCCTACTCCACCACGAGGGCTAGTCATGTCCAGGTCCTCTGTGTGTCCATAGGCTCCTCTGGACCTCAGTTTCCTCATTTGTGTCATGAGGAAAATGTCATCTGCCTACCTCGGAGGACCACTGCAAAAATGAGATCATGGACAGAAAGCACATGGTCCCTGGGAGGTAGGTACTCAGTAAATGATCATTGCATGTGATTGCTGACATGGTATCCTGTTCTGAGGAGGCCACCCCGAAAATCTCCTAAACCTCTCCCAACCTTTACCTTCTCAGCAGTAATCAGAACATGGGGTGTCTGGCCCCTCAACCCTTCCCGCACCACCCTCAGGTCCTCTTCCCTGTCAGAACAGTCCCCTCCCCAACCACAGCCACACTGCAGCCAGACCTGGCCATGCAGCTTGTCCTCAGGGCCTGGCTTTGTCTTGTGGTGTTTGGCGTCCATGCAGAC